AGAAGTCTCAACAACTGAAGCCAAAGATGATGTCCTAGTAGAAGGTGCTGCTATACAAGCCGTAAAGGAGAGAGGTGCACATACAGCGGCATTAAGACAACTTCAGCAAGTTTTGCCATGTAAACTGATTCAAGATGAAGCATCCAGAAAGCAAATGCCATCAGTGATGGAAGCTAAAACAAAACTGCATAATGACCAGCAATGCAGTAAGGATGACCACAAGGAAATTAGGAAATTGGACTATGCCCTTTTGAACATGTCACCGGCCGGCCCATGTCCAATGAAAATCTAACATCTGACAGCCTTGCCCAAACTGATGAAAGACTCAGCCTGGTAGAACACAATGCCAATAATCAATTTTCACCATTAGAATCCAGGAGGGAAAGCCTTCAGGATCTCATGAAGCAGTTAAGGTGCAGAGAAAAGATGAGTGGACCGACGTGAGCCATTGGGATTTGAAACATCTGCCTAGAGACGAGGGATAGACGGCAGTAGTGTTTATCAGAGTCCAGATATGGCGGGACTAGGGTTTTTAGGCTCTAGCTTGTCGCCTGAGGACGAAGACATAAACCTACAGCCACTGATGAACACAGTAGTGTCCTGCCAATATTAAATAGGACAGTTTTTCAGGCAGTAATGAACTATGTGTTTAAAATATTTTCCTTGGCAAAGGTACGTTCCCCGTTTCTCTTTTGTGTGATTGCAGGTGTTCCAGCGTTCCAGAGGATGAGCAAAAACATCCAACGTTCAGACTGCACTGGCCAGCTAGATGAAAACTCATGAATATGCACAGAACACAACACTATCTGCCATTTCCAAAAGATCACAATTCCAAAATAAAAGCTTCCAGAGGATTCAAGCATTCAAGAGTATGCAAAGTTTCACCATGAACTCTTATACTGTAATTTTAAGAAGGAACCTGTATACAGCATGTGTACATGATATCTATTTGTTTTATGTTCTTTGTTTTTTTTATGTGATCAAATATGATCAAAGGAGGAATTGATAGATTTTGTATTTTCAGTTATCAGATTAATTTACATTGTGACTGTGTATCAGATGTAATCCACTCTGTCTGTGTCTGCAAAGGTGTGTCCCAAATGGCCCATACAGATGTATGGCCCATAGAAACTGATTGGTGTGAATGAATAAAAAGAATCAGCATTGCTCAGAGTGGATTAGCAAGTTAGATCGATCTCCTGTGGGAGGTCCTAACAGGTTTCTATTGTTTGTAGCCCATAGGCTATGTCTTCATGCATAAAGTTCTGTCTCACAGACAGAACTTTGGGTTAAGATTATTGAAGGGCGACATGCTAACATCGCTGCTGAAGGACTGCTACACTACAAACCTTCAATAACTTCTTCTCCCCACAAGAACTCTGGTCAAGCTTACTTATTTTATGTATTGGAGAAATCTAATACATTGGCGAGCCACCCAAACCACTGCTCGGCCAAATACAGCAAAATCTAACAAGGCTTAAGAAATATGAAAAAATAAACTGTTAAATGTCTATTTTTTTATGCGTCCACTTACAATCGAAACAAAACATTGTGCTTTTGTAAAATAAAGAAAATAAACAGGGTGTGCTTTCTGCCTCTCCTTCTCTGTGAACTTTTTTTTCTTGAGCACGTCTATAAACAAACAAAACTCAGCGAATACTATTAACCCAGGCATGAGATATATATCTTTATGATCATTTAAGTGTGTACTTTTAAATGATCTGATTCAAAATGAAAACAAATTTTCTCTGTTTAAAGGCGCATTGCGCAACATTTCATGTCAAAAATACCCGTTTTTCTAACCCATACATGCTTAAACAATTGCCTGATGGGCTGAATGAGCCCTTCTCTGATCACTGCAATTGCCTCTATAATCCTGCACAGTAAAATAAATAAGAGGGATTCGGGACGGAATTTGAGACTGGGCGGGACGGAATTTGAGACTGGGCGTGACGTCATGTGCGTTCACGCTCACCTGGCTATGTCTGGCAGGTTTGTGTATTCGCCGCCATTCTCCGTATAAGCGAAGACAACTCGAGCGACAAAACTTTAGTAAACTTTCGACAAAAGTAGAAGATGGATTCTAAGAGACCGGCTTGTAGTTCATTCCAAACCCCAAAGCAAACTCCACGTAAGACAAAGAAAAGAAAACTTTTGTCTAGTGTCACCAAAAGGGCCAAATTGGAGTCAGACAGGCGTCAGAATAAGACGAGAGTCAACATCGGGAAGGCTTTCAACAAATGGAGAGATCTCCGGTCTGCTCTAGGGCTCAAACGGGATCCTCAGTTGGCTTTTACAAAGTAATAACTTATATTGTTCATGAACGTGTTTCCATAATAATACAATCATAAGTGGATACAGTAAACACATAAAACAGTTCAACATGGAGATAGATACAGTAAACCGAAGTTTTCTACTACCCCCGTTTTCCCCTCACACATAAGTGTGTAATTTACTCAAATGCCTTTCCTTTCATATATTTAAAATGACTTGCAGATTTATAACTTTATTACCTCTGAAGACATTATGACTGTAAACAAAAGATTTGTGCGGCTGATGCTCCTTTGGTTATGAACAGCTCGTGCAAGCGTGCGTGTGGTCCATGAGCGTGCACACCTCTGGTTGCAGTTTCGCTTGTCGCCAGAGGGGGCATAGTTCTGCAAAAACTCAGAGACTTGCGCAATGCACCTTTAAGTTATTTGTATAAAACTAACAAGATGTCCAGTTTCTCAAACGCTTGCTCATTATTTTTAATTTGACCACACCCACGCGCGCAAAAGAGATTGATATGCAAATCTCCACGAAGGAATGCGAACGCGCTCATTACCTAAAAAACAAAAGCACCAAACTTCAGTCCTCTGCTTTTCGTCGAGTTTGGAAGACACGCAGTGAGCTTACATTGGATTTACCTCAGAAGAAGAAGAACGTGATTTGAAGACCAAAAATGTAAGGTAAGAAATGTATTATGAATTATATTAGTTAGTGTTATTGTTGCATAAACTTAACATTCCAGTTGAACTGTTGCTAGACTAAAATTTATGAAATCGACGGAAACATGTTGAAATATGAACTATAGCCTAGACAGGCAAGAAATGTATATACATGTACGACACGAGGATGTTTTTATGTTTGATAATAAAACACAGCATGATGTTAGGCTAGTATCAGTTTTTACTCTAATATGGTGAATATTATAATGTTTAGAACCATGTTTACTGTTAAATACTGTGTGTGTAACGAATGGAAACATTTGAAGTAACATATCCATATATTTTTCTCTAGTGTACTGAAGTGTTCCTTTTTAACGATTTATAGGCCGCATGCTATAGGCTATTGTTATTATTATTTGGAATGAAAATCGCCCCACATCATCACATACCCTTCACCATACCTAGAGATTGGAATGGGGTACTTTCCATAAGGTCATCTCTCAATGCAAATCAAACCAGCTATTAAGTTATCTATATCTTTATTAGGTTTCAGCTATAACTGAAATAAAACCATGTCTATATGGTGAAGGGTATGTGATGATGTGGGGCTATTTTAATTCTAAATGCCAAGATAACTTTATCAGGATGCATAGTATCCTGGATCCATGAAATAACTGGCCTTTAAAGATAAAAATCTGCCTGCCTCTATGGGAATTTAACATAGGGATGTCCAGACATATGCATCCTGTATTTTAAGGAAGAACATTGATTTATTTGCAATACATTATTCATTCACAAAGAAAATTGGTGTCCCTAAAGGTTGGAGTTTTCCTCATTTTTTGAATTAAGGCATTAAGATGATTTTTTTATTCCTCTTTTTAGCCAACATTAGCATAGGTGTGTTCACGTATTCTAAGCACTGTGTGTGTGTGTGTGTGTGTGTGTGTGTAATATATATATATATATATATATATATATATATATATATATATCAAATTAAATCGCAATTTTAACCAGAAAAATCTACAATGTATGCCCAAAGTCGTGCAGCCATATAGTTTCTCTTGATATCAGCATGTTCACAGGTGTTTAGATGCCCCACTGAGTCCTGCTGACTTCAACATTCACAGGAGACTCTGTACATGAACATGGTAAAATGAAAAATCAAACACCTTGGAAATGACAGGTATGTACTATGTTTCAGGAATGGCACAAAGGTGTGTGTGACTGTTCAAGCCTCTGTCTTTAGATCAGTGTGTTTACTAATCTGCTTTTTTGTCCTTTGTTGTGTATCTTTGGAATATGTTGTGTTGTAAATAAATCCAAACAATCTAAAAGCCATTCTTTTTAAAGCATTTTCTGGCGCATAATGTGACGTTTGAGAACCTAAAACCCTGTTTCTCCCAGTTGACACGGCAACACACAACCGGTGTTATCAGAAATCTCCACTTTGGCCAGAGTTTTTAGAAATAATCGTTTTCGGTGATAAAAACGGGGTTTTCGTGTAGGCTAAATGAGAGGCCAAACCGCAGGGAAATATCTGCATCTTCCCTTCGTGCAAATGGGGCATAAGATTATGAATCGGTAATCTACTGCTATTCCTGCAGTTCCCAGATGTGAAATGCTGAATTTTCCGTCGACTTTGAATCACTGAATTTGTGGAAGCAAATTTGTAAAGTGAAATAAAAATGGACCGAAAATTGCCTGTTGAATATTATAGGTTGTTCTTTTAAACATTTTGGAAGTGAAATCTGAAAGGTGAATATAGATTATTGAATTTTTAATAATGAAAATGTGTGAGAAATTTTTTGAATTGAAATATTCACAGCTTAAATATACAACCATGTTGAATTTCAGCCCATAAAAATGCAAGCCCTAAAAATACAATGCATTAAAATGCAAGCACGGTTAATGTAATGCATATTTTTTTCCAAGTAGTGTAATTCAACAAGCTTTTGTGTTTCAAAAACATTTGGCATTGTTGTACTTCCATATCAAAACAATATCAAAACCTCCCACAAAGCCTAAACCATCTAATTTTTTCCATCTCAAAAGGCAAGACAACAGCACCTTATGTCCGTTAAGCTCCACTTTAGGGTTGTTTTCAATCTCCCACAAGCCTTCATTGAAGCCCTTCCTTTTGTTTGGTTTGCCATATTTGTCTTTGTTAGTCAAATAGGGGAAGATGTCTTTGGGACCCAAGAATGCTCTGAAACATTAAACAGAAAGCACATAATACATAACTATGACATTTAATTATCCATAACTTAACTACAGGATCTGGGGCCTCATGTATAAAACTTTACATAGATTTTATCCTAAAAGTGTGCCTACGCACAAAAGCTAGATTGTGTGTACGCACAAGAGTTTTCAGATCTGTAAAACCATACGTACACCAGAAACTGTGCAAAATTCCCTTTATAAAACCCAGTCAGCAGAAGATTGTGCTACAGGATTGAGATACAGGATATTTTTAATGGAAACATATAGGCCTTGTTTTTTGCAGTGTAAATACAATTGTCTGACTGCGCATCACTGACAAAACATAAAAAAAAAACATGCAAATCTTACAGTTTCCTTCAAATTCTATCCTTTAAATACAATTGTATTTTTCATAATGCTGGGAAGATCACAGGAGTAGTTATCACTAGGATACTGTCTGCCTGCACACGACGTCAACAGCACACCTCTGTACAGCAGAGGTTGTACATTATTGTCATCGGCCCTTTTCAAACCAGCCAATAGACCGTTGCACCACCGAACAAAAGTGTGCATCACTGATCATTGTTCTCACGAGAACTATTTTCTCAGATGTTCTGAAATTTAGTTTAAAGAGGAATTATCATGACCTAGCACTCTTCACTATCATTAAAACATTAAAACGTAGCACACCACAGGAAAAGTGTTCAAAAGCAGCGCATACACTACAATATTTCTATATTCATATGTAAATATATCTAAATTCATATAATTTGTTCATATAATAAAATTTTCTTCTGGATTATGACTATGTAATTTGAGTGCTTAACTCCATTAATGAGACTGGAACATTTAATCAATGTGAATATCAAATGGAAAACAGTTACAATTATTCTGTTTACTTCATTACTTCCCTCACTTCAGTAAAAGAGTGCATACGCACCATGTAGAGCAGAGGTGGGCAAAGAGGTGAAGGGCCGCATACTAAATCCATGATAAAAGAACTTTTATTTACACTGGAGGTATGCATGGAAAATATATTATCTGACAGAAATATTTGTCACATTAAACAACAATTCTTATTTAAAGGACAAGTTCGGTATTTTACACTTAAAGCCCTGTTTTAAGATCGTTTCTGATGAAATAGAACGGTTAAGATTAAAATTTGGACACATGCTGCTGACCCGAGAATTTTCGGTTTCTGTGGTTGCATCTTTTGCAGCGATTTTTGTGTGAGCATATCAGTGAACACCCCTGACCACTCGGTGAGTTTCACGTCTTTGTAAACTAAAGTTTAATGCGTTTTATGAAGGATTGTTCCATGGGCGCAACCACAGAAACCGAAAATTCTCGGGACAGCAGCATGTGTCCAAATTTTAATCTTAACCGTTCTATTTCATCAGAAACGATCTTAAAACAGGGCTTTAAGTGTAAAATACCGAACTTGTCATTTAATATCTATTATTGAGTCAAATTTACAACAGATATAATCTCATGTGCACTGCAGTGGGCGGTGTTTGTTTGTGTTTAGAGCTCCGTCGAATTGATTCATTAATCCTTGATTTTCTTCTTTACCACTCATTTATTAACAAGCACTTTCTATTTTTATATCGTGTGAACCTATCCTCGATACTATTCCCTATAAAAAACAATCGGATTGCTTTGATATCGCTACTTAGATCCAACTTTGCGAATCTCGGCTACTAGCCTTTAGCCCGCTAGCATTTCACGCGTGGGCTCGCGCCTATCGAGCGTCTGATTTTACACCCGTTTCACTGAAAGGATACAGGTTATATCCAGCATTCCAGTCCTAAATTAGTAGTGATATTGGTAGTATCACTACTAATTTACTGTTCATCTGTTATAATGGCGAACCTATCGGATGTGTGTCTAACGTTACCTCTGAGTGCAGGTGAGGACACATTCGAGCTGATGTCGGTACGATTGGAACTGGAATCGGTGGAGAAACAGATCCGTGGTCTGCTGGAGAGGCAAGCCGAGCTGCGGGATCGGCGATCAGCGCTTGAAACGTCACGTGCCGATGCTCACAAGTCAGTGGTTAGTAACTTTTTGACTCCGACTTCCTCTACTCCGTGCGTTTCTCTGCCCAGGAGGACGCGATCATCTCTGGCTTCATTCACTCCGGCACCGACACAGCACCATGGACCCTGGGTGATCCCACAGCGGAAGACACGAGCCAGGACCAGAGCAAGAACCTCTCCGCCCCTCCCGGTCTTCGAGATCTCCACTCGGAACCGCTTCTCCCCTCTTCGCGAGTCGGAACGCGACGACGCCGTGGTCATCGGCACTTCCATGGTCCGTCATGTCCGCGCTACCTCAGGTAAGGGTAAGGTGCGCACTCACTGCTTTCCTGGTGCTCGTGTTCTTGATGTCGCCGCACAGGTTCCCGAGATCCTGAACGGTGACGAGCGCGTCGGAGCCGTTGTCCTCCATGCGGGAACGAACGAGATCAGGCTGCGGCAGACGGAGGATTTATTCTCTTAATGTCTATATTCTAATGATTAATAAAAACAGTTCATTCTAACTCATTCAACCTAATACTAATATAATGATGTTCAATATGAGGGAAAAGCAGTTATATTTTAAGTTTTTGTCACCATTTCTGAACAAGCTTGCAATTAGGCAATATACACATCAAGCTTACTATATACCCTTACTATATACGGTATATATATATATATATATATATATATATAAATATATATATATATAAACACACATATTATGTTAAAACGCCGTATATGACGGCGTTTGGCTGTAAACACGATTCATTTATGGCGTAATTGTGAACCTCTTGGCTTACCATACTAATCCTAACCAAACGTATAATACACGCGCACCCCACATCACTTCTAAACCTACCAATGCGTTTCCTATGCATGTAAAAACTAATTTTCGCGTATAAATTGCACGATAAACACACTGCGTGCTATAGAGACGCATTTAGTGTGATCGGGTTGATATATCTATGGCAATCAAACTTTACTGGTGAGACAGAAACGTGCGATGAACGGACGGACAGGATGATGTTTTGGCAGGGAAAAACTGATCAGAAAATTTAACGAAAATGTAACAGAACGTTGTAGAAATGTAGTGGAGTAGAAAGTATAATAATTGCTGCAAAATGTAACGAAGTAAAAGTAAAAAGTATGCACTATTGATTCTACTTAAGTAAAGTACAGATACGTGAAAAATGTACTTAAGTAAAGTAACGAAGTATTTGTACTTCGTTACATTCCACCACTGCCTGCACCCCAGCAGAATCGGAGCGGCTGTTCTGTCGGACAACATCTCCAAGACGTTGCACACCATCTGACTAGTAAGTCAAAGTCCAATTCACAGTCTTTGCTGTCCCAACTTAATTGATATAAGTAGTGTAGAACATTATATAGAAACTGTGTCTATTCCTCGTCTAGTGAGGCCAAACAATAAATCTAGTGTAGGATCTAGGAAAAATCTTATTGTAATTAAACCAGAAAATCTAAATATCAGTGAACAAAAACAATTTCTAAAACTAGGTCTTCTAAACATTAGATCGCTCACACCTAAGGCGGTTTTTGTAAATGAAATGGTCACAGATAATAGCTTCGATGTACTTTGCCTTACTGAAACCTGGCTTAAACCAAATGAGTATTTCGGTCTAAATGAGTCTACTCCGCCAGGATACTGTTATAAGCATGAGCCCCGTCTGATCGGTCGTGGCGGCGGTGTTGCAACAATCTATAGAGATATTCTTAATGTTACTCAGAAAACAGGTCACAGGTTTAATTCGTTTGAAGTACTTGTGCTAAATGTTACGCTCTTAGATGTAAGAAAGAAATCCCTATTATCTCTAGCCCTGGCTACTGTATATAGACCGCCAGGGCCCTACACTGATTTCCTAAAAGAGTTTGCAGACTTTCTCTCAGATCTATTGGTCAATGCTGATAAAGCAATAATTGTTGGAGATTTTAACATACACGTAGATAACACAAATGATGCGTTAGGGGCTGCGTTTACAGATTTATTAAACTCCTTTGGGGTCAAGCAAAACGTCAGTGGTCCCACTCATCGTCTAAATCATACACTAGATTTAATTATATCATACGGAACCAATCCAACCGATATAGATATTATACCGCAAAGTGACGATCTCACTGATCATCACATGGTAACTTGTATAATACGTACTGCTGAAATTTGTCATGTTGCGCCGCGTTATAGACCAGGCAGAACAATCCTTCCAACCACTATAGATAGATTCACAAATAGCTTACCTGATCTATCTCAGCTGCTCAGTGAACCCAAACAAACAGATGAACTAGAGGAAATGACCAGCAGTTTGAGCACCATTTTCTCTAGTACATTAGATATTGTTGCACCAATTAGATTAAAAAAGGTTAGAGAGAAAACTAAAGCACCATGGTACAATAGTACTACACATGCTATCAAGAGAGAAACTCGTAACTTAGAGCGTAAATGGAAACAAACTAATTTAGAGGTCTTTAGAATCGTGTGGAAAGACAGTGTGTCACGTTATAAAAAGGCTCTAAAAGCAGCCAGGGCTGAGCATCTCCGCAAACTAATAGAAAATAACAAAAATAATCCAAGGTTTTTATTTAACACCGTGGCTAGACTAACAAATAAACAGACATCGCCAGAGCAAAATATTCCGCTACAGTGTAGTAGTAGTAATGATTTTATGAATTACTTCAATGAGAAAATAGAAAGCATCCGAAATACAATTGTAAATGTACAATCCTCTATGGTGTCTTGTGATTCAGCCTCAATTATCGCCCCTCAAGAACAACTACACCGCTTTACAACTGTAGGACAGGAAGAGCTAAATAAACTTATCATTGCATCTAAACCAACAACATGTTTATTAGATCCAATACCCACTAAACTACTGAAAGAAGTGTTACCTGTAGTGGAAGAGCCTCTTCTCAATATTATTAACTCGTCTTTATTCTTAGGTCATGTTCCAAAAATATTCAAGCTGGCAGTTAT